TTGTCATTTGTGGGGACATTGCCTTTGCCGCTTTACTCTTCAGCCCCTTCAGGCCCCTTCAGGCCCCTTCACCTGAACGCCCTGAACACCCCCTCAAGCGCTGACGTGGCCCCTCGGCTAACTTGCCTCTCTCCAGTCCTCCTCCCTGCTTGCGTCTCCGTCCCATTTTTGCTTTCCTTCCTGGCCTGATCCTGATCGGAGCTGATCACGGAAATAGATTCACCGTGGCCACTACAACCGTCTGGTCTGGTCTTGGCTATCTCCTCTCCAAGGATGCAGTGAAGATTCTGACCAAAGAAGAGGTTCAGAAGCGAGTGGCTCCCTTAGGCAAATAAAGAAGGGCTCTCCTTTGGATGAAGTACTTCGCCGATTAAAAGTGAATTCAATTGGCTGCCATTTTTATTTTTCCGGATGGACCAACATCGTGGCAGGATCCACGTTTCTTAGGCCTAGTCGTGTTTCCCCACGGGCACTGATAGATATTGATTCGCTACGGAGTAGTTTATCCAACTGTAAACTGGTGGGGCATCTGCTTATTAGGTGCTTGTCCTGCCCATGCGTATGGATACTTTGCTGTGGTTGCGATACTGCGTCTCATCTTCTGCCCTGGGCTATGGAACGAGTGGCAAGCAGAGCTTAATCAACCTGGTGGTGACACCTAGACGCGGATGATGCGCAGACCTGCTCTTCCCTAGCAGCAGCGCTTTGCGGTGTGGCTATTGCTTCAAGTAGATATGTAGGCGAGTCATTCGTGCGGTAGTACTCTACATGGTGTATCAGTCACAGGGTCGATTGGCAGAGATGTCTCGTCTAAGTGCCATCCTGCCGGAGCTTTTGCGTTGAATAAGCCGTGATCGATCTGATGAGAGATATAAAAGCATCTGCTCTAGTCCTTGTATCTCAACCCAGTGCTCAGTTTTTACTATATCATGTAATGATTATTTATTTCTGTCTCTTCTACTTGCTCCAGTCAACATAGCCTCTTTTACAGACAAAGCACGACAAGCTTTTAGTGAGAGACCTTCTATAAGCATTATTGATTTCGCTAACTTCATATTCCGAAGCTTCAATCCCCACTGGGCCTTGTCCATTCACGCCCTTCGCCGAATCAAGTCGTAACGTGTCTTCACCATGACCCCATTTTATACTTATGCCATTACACAGTGAGCTTGGTAGGCTAGTGGATATTGGGTTTTTATAATTTCATTCCTCTCGTAATAACCATTATGTCATGACAAAGGTACAACCTCCGGCCACACCTTAGAATAATCCACCAACGGCTTAATCACACCCTCATAAACAGCCTCTTTGAATCTCACATCAGTAAAGCTTGGCTTGGGCCCAAAGGAACAATCTAGGCATCGCCTGACCACATCGTCAATATCTGCTCCACACTCCCCGAGGACATTTTTTGCCCATCGACGTGCGGTGCTGATATCCGTTTGGTCGTTTGGCATGTTGTCCGGCCCATAGTAGTATTTGCGAAAGCTGCAAGATTCGATGTTCTGTCCAAAGACAAGCTCAAGGATTATCACTCCAACAGTAAAGAGACAGGACCGCGTCTCTTCTGGGAAGGAATGACCGGCAAGGGTGGTAGTGTCCTTCGCTGACCCACGCACATCTGTTATCTCTGAGAAAAAGGTTTCAGAGACATAAGGATAATTGTTACAGAGACGTCCGGAGTCTATAATGAAAGAGAAGTCACGTTTGGACCACCTCCTGGACAGCCACGGAGACGTATGTACCTGTAGCAGCGCTGAGGCGATGTGAGAGGCCATGGCGAATCGGTCTTGTCTGGGAATGACAATCTCGGCCCTGTGATGGGCGTTTAGAAGCTCAGGAAGAGGAAAAAGCTTTGCTGTATCTAATGCTACAGCTGCTGGACCAACGAACGACTTAGAAAGTTTTAAATGGAGATCTGACTCGTCCTCAATGATGCCGATTTTGAATGTTTGATCGGCCTGCAAAAATGAGCAGATATCTTGGATCAGCGGGGGCGGGGAGAAAAGAGAGTGCCCCGGCTGGATTTCATCTTTGTTGATCCGTATTACAGGGACCGAAGGGGCAAAGGCAACGTTCTTTCTCCTGGCTTGTGACAGGATGTTGCTTCCGGAAGAGGATGGCTCCAGAGGTGTCTTCTTGAGCATCCTAACTAACTTGCTGAGCTTGGGCGTGTGTTTCACTGCTGTTTCCTCGAACTTCTCCTGCACAGCCGTAAAACAGGTAGCTTGATGAACGTAGCTGATTGGCGCTGATGAGGCTTCTGAAGAGACAGTTGAAGATGGCTGTATCACCACTTCCTGCTTTTTGGGCGGATCTTGTGGCGGACCCTGCTCGCCCCCAATAACGAAAAGTATGCTCAGACTTATCTCTTTGGTTGTGACACATATGCTGAGGTGGGCCTGGTGAGGCTGGCATTTCTGGCTCTGGCACTTCCAACGCTGGCTGAGGATATTATGCACGGAACAAGCGTGTCGACGGACCTTGTCGAAGAGAGTAACTGGTGCTGACGATGTTCGTTTGTCTGTAATGTGAATAATTCGTTCGCTGTAGCCGAGAATCTCTTGCAGTTCCCGATTGTGACCCGCGAGCTTCCGGACCTTTTTGTATTTCCCTTTAGAGAAGCTGATCCTTATGCGTTTCAACTGCCACTCCCACGATGTCTGCTGCGCTGGGCCAATACTTGGTAACTATAACATCACGTGTTAGTAGGGACGGCAATTCTCAAACGGTAGGCACATAAGACGTACACGATCGCCATCAATCTGCAAGAGGTGTTTCAAGTCTTTCACTACTTTTTCCATCCTTTCGACAATCCGGAAGAACCTGTCGCACTCGCCAGCTAGGCGCCGCTCCAAGGGGTCGTCTAGGGTGCCATCACTCCACCGGGTGTCCGTTGAGTCCCTTATCAAAGCAGCAAGGGCGTCGTTATCTGCGATGATCGGGTCGAGCAAACGGGTCATATTCTCTTGGTATTCCATCATCTGATGATTGATGCTGTCGACAAACTCAATGAAATGCGTGCGAAAGCTCCACCACTCCTCTAACGGCTCCATGCCTTCACGGTAATAGTCAAGGCAGCTCAAAATAATTGGAAATGCTCCTAGCACAAGGCCAGCAATCTCAATGCCGGTCGCCATTTTGAGTAGCTAGATACAGTCGGAAGCGCGTGCTTTCATGCGATGGATCGGATGGCTCGCCTGAGAGTCAAATAGAAAGAAACCATAGCCAGCAGTGCCAGACACTGGGAAGGCTCAGGACCCCGACTTTCTCGCATTTGAGGGTCGGACTCGAGCTGAGGTGCACGGCTCGCTTATCGAATGATATAATTGGCGGTGTGATATGCAAGTTCCCCGCGACTGGTGATCCTGATCGGGTGATAACACGTCTTCTTGCCTCTATCAAGACAATGTCAGGGCTCTTCTGTTATATATCCAGGAAGAGACAGACCTACCAAATTGCCAGTGGCCATCAGCATCCACGATGGAAAACTCAACCCTATCTCAGATCGCCCTTACCTGCAAAGAAGACATCGCTGGTCTTCTTGCTACGACAGGGATGGAAGACAGCTCACGTGCAACAGACCTTCTGCGCGAGCAAGATGTTATACAGATACAGGAGCGATATGATCAGTGGGCCGGTAATCTCGGCGCTCTTCAGCCTTCCAGCTCTGCATTGTCCCTCGACCACCGCCTTCGGGACAGCTCGCAGGTGCGAAACTTGGTTCTCTCGACGCTTCAGGACCTCCATGTCTCTATACAAACCGGTAGATGGACTCCTTAGTGCTAGTAACACCAGGCTTATACTGTTCACAGCCACTGATATCGCAGCCGGAAGACGCCCAAATCGAGCTACTAGTTCGCTAGACATCGACTCTGACATTGACCTTTCTGAGTATCAGGTCTCATCGAGCGATTCTGAAACTTCATCCGCCTCTAGTTCAGGAAACGAGCGAATCGCAGTGGGGCCGACTTCAGAACTGCAAGAGCTCATATCAGCAATCAAAGGAGGACTTGATAGCTTGTTCAGAATCTCCATCTTTATCCGAAAGTTTGCAGCACAGGACCGACGTCAACGAGCATCACGAGCAAAGCCCTTCGACAATCGTGCAGATATTATGTATATCAAAGACCGTTATCCTGCTTTGGCGGAGAAGAACGAAGGCCTTGCAATTCGGTTGGGTGAAGCTAACTCTAGACGGCGGCAATATTTCAAATATCGTAGGGACCACAATGACCGATTGTTGACTATTCGAGAATGTCAGGATACCTCAGAAGTAGATCGCCTGATAATAAGGCGAGCTGATGGCGGCAATCAGACGACTGCGGAGGCGAAATCGGTGGTGACAGGACGAACAGCGCCCAGTTTATTCGCTGACACTGAAGCAACGGCCTTTGTGAAAGGTGACGTGCCAGAATCCCAAGTGGCGGAGCTTCTCGACGTTCCTGCAGCCATGTCTGTGGTCTCATTTGCAACGTCCATTGCAGAGGCTTCAGAGGATGAACTGCCATTCCCTCCACCTCCGCCCGAGGCCGACGGCCGGTCTTCCTTCATGTGTCCTTACTGCCTCACTGTTGTTCAAATGAAGGAAAAGGACACAAAACATCAATGGAGGTTTGTCGGGATTTCCACGAATTCTTAAGGAAGATGCTGACTGCTGTTTTAGAAAGCACGTGCTTCAGGACCTGGAGCCTTACATCTGCACGTTTCCCACCTGCGGCCTAGAAACTTATCAGTCGCAACACGCCTGGTTTGAACATGAGCTCATCGCTCACCGCAATCGATGGCTCTGTGCTCAATGCTCCAAATGCTTTTCATCCTCACAACACCTGGAAAAACACATCAGGGGGTCACATCAGGAACACATACCAGACCGACAGGTACCGATGATCGTGTCACAGTCCAAACAACAGATTGATTCGATTTCACCGACAGAATGTCCATTTTGTGACGACCCGTGGGCGGAAGGCGATGAAAGTGGCAGTACAGTCTCCGAGGAAGTGCTCGTGGTTGACCTGGACAGTTTTCGGCGACATGTGGGCCATCATCTACAACAAGTAGCGCTCTTTTCTCTCCCGAGATTAACCCAGGATCAAGATGCAGGCTCAGAGGATGTCGGCGTCCTTCCAGACCGAGATAATATGTCGCAAGGCTACCGATGGTTGAGAGAAGATTGTGGTCGTGGCTGGAACATTATTTCACGCAAGCGGTCCACTTTTATTGCCTTCGCTTACTTTCTAGCCCTTTATCAGAATCCGACTAGATGCCCGGGCAATACGTTGCTCAATTGGAACCCCGACGATCTCCTTGATTCACAGAAGAGAGAGGGCGCCGATTGGTATGCCGTGTTTAACCCGGAAGTGCAACGAGTACTTGACATTGAGCTTGTCCACCATCTCGTTCACGACAGCGTTGTCTGCTGTGTGAACTTCAGCCGTGATGGCAAGTACCTCGCAACTGGCTGCGACCGTTCCGCTCAAATTTTCGACGTCACCACTGGTCAGAACGTTGTAACCCTGCAGGATGAAACCCTCGACAAGGCCGGCGATCTCTATATCCGCAGCGTTTGCTTCAGTCCCGACGGCAAGTATCTGGCTACTGGCGCCGAGGATAAGCAAATTCGGGTTAAGTTCCCCATTAACCTATTATCTGATTCCGTCATATGGCACATTTAGACTAATTTGGCATGAGACATAGGTTTGGGATATCAGTTCCCGAAGTATCAAGCACACCTTCACTCATGAGGAGGCTATCTACTCCCTGGACTTCGCAGGTAACGGTCGGTACCTTGCCTCCGGTAGTGGAGACAAAACTGTGCGCCTCTGGGATGTTCGGGAGGGTAAGCTTGTCTACACTCTCAGTATCGAAGATGGCATCACCTCTGTGGCTATTTCGCCGGACGGTCTCTACATCGCTGCGAGCTCTTTGGGCAAGAGTATTCGAATTTGGGATACTACCACTGGTTACCTCGTCGAGCTTCTCCAAAACCCCGATGGCCACAAAGACAGCGTGTACTCCGTCGCTTTTGCACCTAACGGAAATAACCTCGTTAGTGGTAGTTTTGATAAGACCATCAAGCTCTGGGAGCTCGACTTATCCCGCGCCTACGCCGGTAGCAGCAAGGGCGGCAAGTGTGTGCAGACTTTTGAAGGCCACAAGGTAGGAGACAACGCCCCAAAGCGGCCCACAGCGCCCGCAACGGAGTAAACAGACCGCTAACTATATGGGATCAGGACTTCGTGCTTAGTGCTTGCCTGACGCCCGATGGCCACTGGGTCATGAGCGGTTCCAAGGATTATAGCGTCCAGTTCTGGGACCCGATCACCGGTAATGCGCAGATGATGCTTCAAGGACACAGGAACTCTGGTTCGTATGTCAGATTATATTTTATCCAGGAAGCGTTCCTTCTAACTTAGCCAAATTAGTTGTCTCAGTTGCACCCAGCCCCACTGGCAGCCTGTTCGCCACCGGCAGTGGTGACATGTGTGCAAGAATCTGGAGGTACATTTTGTCCTATCATTCCGAATCCGCGCTTCTCCTACACTACCTCCTTAACTTAAATCTGGATGATCCAGCTAACTGTATATCCTCCTCGCAGATATTCCGCGTACACTATATAGTGACTATTGAATTTGGGAAAGCTCCGGCATCAGGGTGATCTCGACTGTGATTTTCTCTTACTTCTGTTTCGCTCCGCAAAGTCAATACTGAACATCTATTCCATCGTCACTATCTCCTTACAGAGACTATACTAGTGCTGATGTTCAACCTGTGAAGGAGAATGAGAAATACCAGGTGGATGTGGAAGTGTGGCCGACTAATACTGTGCTCGAGCCCAATGAGACTCTGGTTCTAGAGATTGCAGGCCATGACACCCAGGGTGTCGGCAAGTTCTCCCACGAGCATCCAGATGATTGGGATCCAGCATTCTTTGGCGGCCTCAACCATATCGAGGTGGGCCAGAAGTCTGGCTATCTCTTGCTCCCTCTCATACCGCCTCAGGAAGCTCTTAATTGATCACCTACCTACAGAGAGTGAAGATATACACAGAGGATGGTACATTATGCTGTACTCAGCTAATTCATCCAATGTAGACAGACGCCAGTTTATATCGAGAACACAATGAAGCTATCCTGTCTACCTAGGGCAGAAGTTTTATCTTCGGTTTCAGCACATCCATGTGTATCTATTCGTTTCGCTGGGACTATTTACTGGTATCGAGCGGAAGCACAAGTTACGCCTCAATGCGAATTATACAAAGCAGTACTTTTTAGAATGATAAATGTGGCTGTATGCATCTCCAAGGACTCCGGTGTTTCAAAATTGAACCTAGGTATACGACGATAATGTTTTGTGCGCATGCATGTGGCACCAATCTTGGCCAATAGTTAAACGCGAATAGGCTTTGTGTCCCTTGATGCTGCAGCTATTTATAGGAATTAGGGTTGACTTATAAACCCATCCCAACGGTGCCATGAAGTGTGGCTAGCATTTACCTTCAATCGGCTTGTAGGCTGCTCCTGCCCATACTCTACATTCCGCTTGGATGTGCTTTGTGTAGATAGGTCTTCTTTTCGCACAGAAGATGGTTAAGAGCAAAGTTGAATTCCCGTCGAGAGCTTATCTCTCCATATGTTAAAGTTCGTAAAGACAGCCCTACAGGTAATCAGTAGCTGCCAGTACAAGCATCGCGTGCACTTATGCCGCGATCAGACCTGGTTCTGACGTAAGAAATGGGGCTGCCTTAGAACTTATCCTGAAACGGAAAGGGTTTCAATGGAAATGTCTTTTGCTTCTGGTGATGGGTGCGCAACTACTGTATCTTATCACACCATATTAGGAATATGAACCAGTGAAAGCTACGGCATAACCGCCGCTATCCGACACCCCTGTCTATACACCCTAATAAGACAGCCTGGTGGCACTGCCACACCCAATTTGCAATATAATGTCAACGCTCCTAGTCTCTTTTTAATTTATCTTGTATAAAACAAGGGGTTAGCGCTAGGCTGAGCCACGTATGTGTGGCTAGGCTATTGTATATCCCTTTTGCGCCTTAGGTAGATAGGTAAAATGCCCCAGTCTTTACTTGAGTTTTATTAGGGTATATAGAGAGTATGGCCTTTCTGTATAATATTTTATAAGTATTAAGTCTTAAAGAATTTGCAGTTTTCTAGATATTAATAGGTATAATTATTATTATATCTTCTCTGTATTTACGACTTTAAGTAATCTTTCTTCTTTATCTTAAAATACGCTTTCTAGTCCTTTAGGTAAAGAATATTCAGGTCTCTGAAAGAGGCCTGGAAGGGCCGCTAAAAGCGGCGAGACGCCTACAACTGGCTTTGGGTAAGCACGGTCATACTAATGCTGTTGTATGTTTTGATTTTTTCTGTATTGTACATATAGCTGGTATTGATAAACGTCTAAGCAGCGCAGTAGTTACGCATCTGCCTGCCAATTAACGCCCTTTCTAACCCAAATAGTTGACTTTCAGATTCATCCGGCTTAACCACGTTACTGTTTTATATCAGAAGCGCCTCAGACCTTTCCTTCATGTTGCAGCTGTAGAGGCTTTATTTAATGTTGGCAGGGATTGTCGCTGGCGGCCCCAATTGGCTCGGCGTATAGCATGACCTAGGGAGTTGCATAGGCTAGGTAGATTAGATAGTGATCATCAATTCAAGTAAATCTGATCATGGGCCTAAAATCGACCTACTAAAATTTAATGTCCTTTAGACTAACTCGGTGGAATGGTTATATAAGTACAGTATCCCTAGTCCAACCATGGCCATCAGATTTACATCCTTGAACATGGACTATAATGTATCAACATCAGAGTTGTCCGCTTCTATCTTAGCCCTAGAATGAGGCGAATTCGTTAAACTAGATACTTAACAAAGCTTCAGACACAAGTAGCTTCTCTATAACCGAATCTCCAGGAAAGCCTCTCAATTCCCCCATTCGGACCCCCAGGAGAAATTGTTTAGGGCGCAACTTTTGAAAGTGACGGGACAGAAAGTGAGTAATAGCATCTGGCTCATGATTTCCCGTGTATTTTGGAATATATTCTGTGGAGGGACAAGTAGCGAGGTTGGATGTGAACTTTGCAGGTTCGCTGAAAAGCACGACAATTCTCTTGTCTTGTGGGAACCAGGAAGATCGTAGCATTGCTTCAAATCTGGATTTGCAAGGGACCAATGAAGTCTCTAGAGACTCATTTTTAAAGACCTCGTGGTAGCCGGCAGGATTGACGAGCAAAAAAATGGTTTACTTGGGGGGAAAATAGCATAATATCTGTGAGGCTGTGCTTCTGATCCACACCGCCTGGTTCAGCCTTGTCCAGGGACTATAGGAATATCATTTCCCTGTCGAGCAGTTAATTTCCTTCTGTCATCTTCCTTTCTCTCTCTGTCTTCTCCCCGCCCCCTTTTTATTTCCTTTTTCTCTTCTTTTCTCTTGTTTTTTCTGGAGGCTGAAGACTCTCCTTTGGCAGAGCCCAGTGACCCTGGTACCGCAAATATAATCCGGCCCAAGCACAAAGTAATTTACAATGATCGTGTTAGTCAAGCAAAAACCTTGACGAAACGCAAAGGAAATTACCAACATCTGAACCAATACTGGAAAAGAAAGACGGGCGTCAAGGAATCCAGGGCCGCTATCCCCGGCGCCAATTTATTCGTACATCACTGTCCGGGAACGATAAGGCAGCTAAATGGAGGGGAATATAGCAGACTCGTATCTATTCGTAGGAGAAAAAAGAGGACAAATTAGTCGTGATAAATAGTAAAAGTTTAGAGGTATAAGCTCCTCGCAAGCACGCCTATTATCGAGTATTCTTGGAAGCTGATTGCCGCGGCATTTCCTAAATGGCACATCAACAGAGGAATACTATAGTTCTGAAATCAATAATATAGGCGAACCTGAAGGCGGCGGTAGGTGGTCGGAACCCCACACTTATATCCATACTGAGTACTGACTACACTTAAGCCACATACCAGAAAGTTAATAGTTGGGTAGATGACCACCAGCGAATCCCTCCTGTGGTATGTTTTTGGGATTTTTTTGTGATTGATCTTCTTGAGAAAGAAACCCTTTGTTTGGTAACTAGCTTTTTTAACCTCTGCCTAAATGTCTTGCCACGGTGTCATGAGGAAATCACTCAGGCGCTGGCCTCATAAATGCAGACAATGGTTAATATCTCACATCCAGCGTTATTTACTTATACAGCATAAATCCCGACGTTTACAACAAACTACATATAAGAACACTTTTCGTGCCGATCAACTGCACCCGCTGTTCACTCTGGTCTCCCAACAACTCTTCAAGTCACCCTAAAATAAAAGGTAAAGTCATAGAACCTAGTTCCCTGCCAGTTCTTGAACTGACCGAAAGGTCCATGGTCTGTGTGAGCCTGCTCCGAAAGCTTCTTCTTGTCAACTTTGCCAGTCCACCTCCATGACTGACCTTTGGCTCTGAATTTCTTTGATAAATCATCAACTTGCCCGAAGGAAACCAGTGGGTCCAAAGATAGTTGTTTGAAAACTGCCTGCTTGGCTTTCTGATAAGCATCGTTATCCACTGCGACCCAATTTCCTTTCACTTTGCCGCTGTAGAAGCCTTTGACGGCTTTCGTCGACCGTGTTCGAATCTTTACCTGGCGGCTGCTAAGTTTCTCGCCGCTCATATCTAGAGAGTCATCCCAGGGTTCGCTCTGGGAAATGTAGCCCTCGTCCTGGCAGGTGCAACTGATTGGATCCCAGGCTTCGCAGCCCGGGTCTGTCCAGTCACACTGTCCTTTCTCAGAAACTAAGAACATGTTATAATATCATCTGTTTATTGAAGTCTATGGAATTACCTTCATCATTCTCATTATCATCGCCTTGGAACATCGGCAATGCAACAACTAGGCCGACAAAGAGAACAAGCAAGGTAAGAAATGTAGTCTTCATCCTTTCAACCGTGCACGCTAGAAAAATGATGGAGGAAGAGCGTTAGTTGTGTGGTCTGTACGCAACTGGTAGCAGTGTCTATTAGGATAGATACATCATCCCTTTTATATACCTTAGGGTATTCCGCCTCGGCAATTCTACGATATGATCAAGGAAGTCTAGACAACACCTAGACATGAGAACCACCCAGGGTTGGGATGACCTAGACCATCATGAAACTCTTAGCTCATTTATCATAATAGTAAACCAGAACTAATTCCAAGGTAATGTCACAAAGAAGGGAGAGTTTGGTGCAAGTCACATACCAGTTCACGGTACGAGACACACACGTATACTTGGCGGTTTTTGTTGGGCAGATATGCAATTCAACTAGCCCCTTGGCAATGTCATAAGACAAACTATGACGATCCAAGAATACCGTTGGAAAGTACTCTAGAACATCGTTCACGCCAGCGATTCTTTACTGCCAAGGGACTTAGATGGCCGTACAGGCTGGTAAGCGTCCATATTAACTTTATTTGTGGACGTCAAGAAGGCTTAAAGGCCCAGAACTATACCAGCGGGAGATCGGAAACGATCACAGCCACCCAAACTCAGTTCTAAGGCTAGACCTTACAGGGGCTATACTAATCCTCGTTGATCAAATCCACAGCCGTAAGATTTTAGGAAGATTTACTTAATCTGTCTCGGCGTTTTTGAACCATGGTTGTAGACCCGTGGTCCGTGAGAACTGCATATCATGAGACCCTACCGTACTTTCATAACTGCTACAGCCCATAGTTGTATTCGCAAGTAACTCACAATGTACCATATTCTTCTATAAGGTTTAATGATTAAACATTAGTTCATGTTATCGTAAGATCATGGTTAAGGCTGTTTTCGGGTCGGGTTGCGGAAGTAGCGCCCACTTTTAGTTTCAGAAGTAGACTCAAACCTGAGAGGCTCGACCAGGTGCTGCGCGGGGTCATGTGATAGACAGATCTAGACCTCATAGATTCGGTGAAAACTTCTCGCATCCGTGAGTCATTTGGTTCCTTCGAACTCGTTGATCTTTGTTGAGACGTCCTCGTCCTTGGCTTGCAATCGCATGTTCCACGGGGCACTGGCTGTAGAAATGCCGCACGAGTGAGAGGTTGCGAACTGTTTCCAAAATTTCTTGAGAAGGCCTCTTAAGACACACCACTAATGGGAAAGGTCAGGTGTAGAGATAAGTGCACCAGCTTGTTTGACTGCCTTAAAATTCTGATGAAGTCAGTACTCGCTTCACATTTGACGGCCATTTCTGGTGTTCGCCTAGGAGTACTTCTCAACTATGTCCGCATCAATAATGGGCGATTGGTTGGAGCGAGGTTGGCCGAGGAATAAAAGACTAGAATATGAAACATACTGGCCGAGTGCTCAGGATAGACTCACTTGACTATCAAAGCCTCTATAGAATCTGAAGCCTGCGCAGGTAAGGACACCACTTGAAAGGCGACTCCCTTCTGAGCTGCATCAGATGTATTGGTTAAATAATCTTCTTATAGAAAGACCTATTGTGCAATCTTCTTAGAGGCTGGTCAATATTGACATTTTCTAAGGTATGCGGTAACAAAAGCCCACCATAACGTTAGAGAAAAAATTATAGGGATTATTAAGAGGGACAGGAATGATTTCATCGTTGAACCCAAGAATATCATTGACGCTTGGTGCTGATCTGTAATCTTTGGTCCACTCCCAGGGGTAGACATCAAACCCAAGGATCCAGAAAAGGGAAGAAAGGGCGTGTGTGCGGTGGTGCAGCAATTTTGGAAATACTTTTAATATTACACACGCTGTGGAGTTAGTGTTGCGTGTCGAGGCAATCTTCACGCACTATTTAATGCAACCAAATGTAACCCCGCCTGATCCCTGCAACGATATGTAATCAAAATTCGATTGACAATTGAATAAATGCGACCCAACCTGATTGCCAAAGCTTCCAAGTCCTCAGTCAAACAAAATAACATGTAACCATAGGATCCATTGCTGTTGAACCATACCGGCCCACTCCTGCCAATATTATGATAAACAATCATAAACCGGCGGATCTGTCGAAGATCCTGTTCAAAATATTAGTATTCTGGATTCAACCGGGCGGGCTTTTTATGTTGGAAATATCCTAATCGAAGAAGAATGTATTATCGCCAGACTGGCATTTAGCTAGGTTAAGTTAGGTTAATAGGATTAATTATACCTATCCGCTAGGTTATAATTAGGTTAATAGAATTTCTATATTTAATTGTAGTTAGTCTTCTTCAGGGCCCAAGCCCAACCCCTAGGCCCACGATGGGCCGCCAATGGGCCTCCCCCCAAAGCCCATTTTTGCATAAATATTGGTCTTGGCTGTCATAAAGGCGCTTAATAAGCAGGGTAAATCACGTCTTTTAACATAAAGCCCTATGTTTGCACTGTCTGGGGCCCAAAGCCCAACCCACCGTGGGCCTGGGCCGGGATGGGCCGTGAAGAAGCCTAGGACTGTAATACTAGCACACAGCTCGCGCAATGCAAGGGCCATCCACATAACAACTCGTCCAAATGAAGAACAGAACCTAGGAATGAAGAGCTCTCTGGTTAAAAGTAAATATGGATTTTGATATTTTCGTTCTCTCAAGTTCTGACAAACTATATGCACATTTTAATATTACAAATGGGCTAAAACCATTATTTAGATCTAATCTATGATATATGAACAAGACTAGTATCATTCATACTAAAGATCTCCAACTATAGCATTGATATTATGACACTTGGCAACAGTTGTGTATATCCAGACCCAAAAACTATACCTTCATCCACAGCTTGCCTTTGGCCAAATGCATCCTGGCTATAATGTAGAAGATGGTCCCCATTGCCAACATTATCCCCGTGAAAACCTGTAGTTTCCAGTAACTCCCTCCTGCAGCCGAGATGAGAGCGCCTCCAATAGGGCTCCCTGTCAATGCTGCTACGGACATGCAAGCATACATCGTACCCGACCGGGTTCCAATCTCCCGTATATCGGAAATTTGTGCCACCAGAGCCGGGCTAATCGCTGTGTAGGTGCCAGAGCTTAGACCGAAGAGAGCAGCAAATGCAATTGCCGTCGCTTGATCTTGTCCAGGAAGCCACAGAGCCAGAACGAATATACTCGACAAACATGCCGCACAAAGAGAGACATTATAGTTGCCTAGCCTATCCGCTGCATATCCAGGAAGAATACGGCCGATCCCACTATCATTGCCTGGTTAACCAGGTTCTTTTCCATGAGGCTGATGGAAATGCTGTGTGGTATGTACTTACCTCGCCGCATTGAAAATCGGTACTAAATACCCGGCAAGTTCAACTGACATTCCCCTATATTTGCCGTAGGTCACCATGAATGTGATCGGGATGAACATCCCCATCGAATAGAAGAAACTGGCAAGGGCCGTTAAAAGAAATGGAAGGTCCTTGAAAGGCCGGATAAATGCCATGATACCGATGGTTTTTGGTTGCGAAGGTAGCCTTGGCCTCACGGTGAGATTTGTCACGATCAATAGCGCCAACATTAGAAATGCACATGTTCGCATAGTCCACCCGAAACCTATCTGAGGCATCAAGCGATCTACTAGGATAGGTAGAATCACTCCACCGAGGCTCGACCCGCTGGCAACTATACCCATGACCAGGGCACGCTTCTTCATGAACCATGTTGTGACACAGCTGAAGCAAGGATACATGACCATGCCCGCGCCAATGGGACTGCAAATAGCTTGGGCAAGGATAAACTGGTAGTACTGGGACGAGATGGAAGTCATCATGAGACCGAACACATGCAGGAAGGCCCCTATCAAGAGCAGGTAACGCGGCCCAAAATTGTCATACAGCCTTCCAACCACGGGTCCCTACAGTTCGGAGTGTTAGTGTCATTTGAGAAGTCTAACGATTCGGTATTTGATCTTATCAGTTAGCCTCTCACTCACAGTAATAAAGATCATGAACATTGATGTTGCTGGGATCCACGACACTATACTTGGGGATTTTGACTGTAACTGATGAGTCTGATAATAGGCTTGAAACACGCCGACACCTGTGTGATGAAGGGTTAATTTTCTCTCTCTCCCCGGGTCTTACTTGGGGTTCATACAATTCGTCCAGCCAAAACTAATAAAAAGGCCAAAGAAGGCCCCCAAGGCCACTAGCCAAGCCCGCAAGCCCCCATCAGGAAATTCCTCAGGTCCGTTTATTTTAGCACATTCAAAAGTCGGTCGTTTCTCTTCCGCATTCTGACTTGCTCCGGTTGAGTGATGTGTGTCGTCCATCCTCGTAGTTGGCAAACACTAAGAGAGGAAATAGACAAAGTAACTGTTTTAAAGTGAGCTCGGGAGTAGCGCCGGAAATTCACCAAAATGAAAATAGTGTACAATGGAAATTGAAGCTTGTAAGACGACCTGTTTATTGAAGCTTTGCAAGTCTAGCAATCAAGGAAGGACTGTGTCAAATTGGCACTTATATATACACAGAGGAACAAAACAGTCTACGACGCATCCATCTAACTTGGTGTGCCAAAGCCCATTCCATTGACTCATAAGTTAGCTGTTTATGCCTCTTTGCTAAACCGACTGGTAGGGCGTGAGGACGGGTGGAGCCCCGCGGAGCCCCGCGGAGGTCCGACTAGGCCAATCACGGCGCGAGACACCAGAAAGTCAGACCGTTGAGACTTCAAGCCAATCTTGTATCGTATCTCTGCTCAACAGAGCCTGGAATTGGACACTCGAAACTCCCTGAATGTAATGAAGCGTTCAACTACAGAAGCCGGGCCAGCTCCCAAGCGCAGTGCTTGGCAGCAGCCCGTGTCCTGTGAGTTCTGCCGTCTGAAAAAGATTCGATGCGACAAGAAAAGTCCGTGTTATAACTGTACTTCCAGAGGCTTTGCATGTGAATATGCTTCAGGTAGTATATTCTCTTCTCCAACTCTGTGTCTAATTTAAGTGATTTTGTCTGACGCAAGAGGATTAATGCCCTTCAAAAGTGATTAAACCTGTACAGTCCTCCTTAGATTCGAACAAGGACCCATCTAAGGAGCAACACCATACTCTGATCCTAGATGACAAGCTTGTATCACTGGAACGGTGCGAGACCCTAACGCTATATTATGCCATTACTAATATGATTGTCAAAGAAATGTTCGGGAAATCAACGACCGCCTTAAAAGAGTAGAAAGCGCTCTCCTTTCCACCTCCGGGCTAGGACAGCAGCTCCATAGAACACCCCAAGTTACTCCCCCATTGTGTAATCTAGCAGAAAGTCATCATGGAGCAGACAGTCCCAAGACATGGGACAATCTTGAGGCCATTGCTTCTAATCCACACTCTGCTACCGAGCCGAGCCTCCAACGACAACAACCAGCAGGGGGGGTGTCTATGAGCGATCCCAAATTTATTCGATTGAATGACAGCAAGGCTTCTGGAGAGGCATCATCCAAAATACTCCAGCATCACTACTTGCCGACTACCGATGTACCAAACAATATCAAGTGGAGAAACTTGCAAAGTCTTCTGCCTGATATTCATCTTGCTCGGCTACTCTTCGAACATTATGTTCAGACTGCGGACTGTCTGCACCGCGAGATTCATGTTCCTTCCACGCGCGCCCTCCTGGAGGCCACTTATAATAATGAACTATCGAGATCAATCATGGGGTCGGATGAAACAATTACCTTCTTCCTTTCCATCTTCGCATCCAGTGCATTTTATGTCTGCCATTCACACTCTCACTCAATATCTGACCAACTGAAGGATGCGTCGACGTGGCACAGTACATGGAAGGAGGCAGTCATATCTGCACTATTGCAGCCAGATGCAATAGGCACGTCGTCACTAGTATCTTTGCAGACAATATTGATCATGACATATTTAATATGGGACACGGAAGGGCAATCATCCATGTTCCATACCCTAAGAGTTATCGCACATACGAAGGCAATTCAAATGAAGATCCATCGCCTTGACGCGCATCATCCAACAGAAGATGGCGACGTCATTGTAACAGAACTCAAGCGCCGTCTCTGGTGGCATCTTGCGTCTACTGACTGGTTTGTTCGATCTTTTCATCTCAATTACGCGTGGGTCAATGCTAATGATGCGCTTCGAGGCTTGTTGCCAGCGTGCCGGGAAGCCAGGAGGGGATATATAGCACCAACCCAAAGCTCATGGCGGTCAAATATCCCCTCAACATAGACGATGCGGATATTCTGGCGGACGGACCATCCCCAAAATCACTACCCGAGGACCAGCCAACATCAATGTCATTCTTCATCCAACGTATTAAGCTTGCTGAGCTATGTCGAGATATGGTAGATTGTATGCAAAACGTCCACCAACGAACAGATATACCAGATCACGAGCAAGTCCGCCAGATTATCGGATGGTTTAACTCATTCGAGGAAAATCTGCCATGGTTCTTCCAGATGGATGAAGAAAACATAAATAAAACAGCAGTATTGGCTGCCCGCCGCCCCTATATTATCCGGCAAAGGCATGTGTTATTGTTTGGGCTATACTCACGACTTGGCCGTCTGCTAAGGCCATTCCTTATTCGAGGGGAGAGCCATCCCTCGTGCTCTGATTTGGTCAATCTTGGAATAAACTGTGCCGAGAAGTTATTGCATATTCGTCATATAGTCGATCCGGAAGATCTTTGCCCTTCCTTCCATTCATACAGTATAGACCAGCACTCGTTTGGTGCCCTGCTTCTCTTGACCATTGATATAATGCGCGATAACGATGGCCTTCGTGCACAGGACAGAAGGAAGAACTTGATTCGCGAATGCGAAATGCTGAGAGAAAAACAGAGATCCTTGGAAAAGCCTACGAACAGCATGATCCGAGCGCTCGACCAATTAATAGGTATCATTCAGAAGCCACGACTATCCTTCCCGCGAGAATTTGTGGATGTCAATCGTAACCATCCTGGTCCAACGTCGCCTTCAACGCCATATGATAGTGTCGGCCTTCCGACACAACCCTTCTCCTCTGAAGAGACCGAGATTCCAGGAAGCCAAACAGCGTGCACTGGGGAAGCAGTTGACCCAGGGGAACATTGCCACATGCCTTTTACCTCGCCAGATAGCTTTCTGTGTGCTCCTGGACATCCAGCCAACAGTCTTGCGGGTCAAGATATCACCGAGTTATGGGCAGAACTGCTGACTAACTTCCCTAGTCCGCCAGGGTTCACATGGGAAGAGGCATTTGACGGGAAGTGGTCGTGATGCTACCAGGACAGGGAATGGATGCTCTACTTAAGATAAAATAAGCAATGTTATATAGGGTGTCACATGAGGCTTGCTTGATAAAAGTCCAAGGAGGGTGTTGGGCTCTGGCTCTACCTTATGCTGCTACTGATTTGATAGTGGTTGGGGTGCTACTTGATGTAGTATATACCCGATAGGATAAGTATACATCTTTATCTAAGCCCTGTACCCCTGGTGACCTTTCCTTTGTCTCATTTTTGTGGCCACTGATGGAATCAATTATATTCTAGTATTAACACTTTCGGTAACATTGTTGTGGCTAATTTGACTACTTCCACCTGACGAGGAGATAGGGATATTCGCTTCGGATTTATATAACTTCTGTGACGTGCCTGCATACGACTGTGGGGTAGTTTGGAAACAGCTGGACTCGATCGCAGTGGCTGTATGTCCCAACGCCGCGAAGTCAAATAGGGCAGCTTCTGGAAAACTATGCATACTTTGAATGGCTATTGCTACCACTATGTTCGATCAACTCCGTACACCATATTGTTAAAAACTGTGATTGTGATCGATATTTTGCTCCTGGCTGACTGAGTAGTGGAATGCGCCTGGAACAGCTTCCCTGGTGTGCAACCGTATATATCAATGCTTTGTTTGTGCCGCGAAAGGAGGTGTTTGCAGTGAATGGGCATAAGGGCATTCATTCAGTGTGTACAGAGTATATTTCTATACAATCTTCAAACTTTAAGGACGTAACAAGAGGGCCAATGCCAATGATGCAGGTTTGCTGGGTCCCTGCGAAGTGTGTTCAGCATCGTATGATTTGAAGGTGTTTTTGCGCCTCTTCGTATTTGTTCTGGGTGCATTAATTGATACTATCTTTCTTATGCCGATTGACTCGCCCTGTTAGAAATTATCAGGGGAAAATAGCGCGAAAGGGTAAAAATAAGATCAAAAACATACAATAGCATTAGTATGACTGTGCTTATCTAAGGCTAGTTATAGGCGTCTCGCCGCTTTTAGTAGTCCTTCAGGGCTCTTTTTAAGGACCTAAATATTTTTTATCTAAAAGGCTCGGTTCAAATCGCCCCGCTTCCTAAAGCTTGGTACTGCGCGTCATTCGTTGCGCCTTAGTCCTTACTCTACGCCTTCTCCTACACGAATCTCGTTGGCCATCTGGCCACACTCTTCGGACTTCCAAGTTACTTCGACATTCATCATGGCACCTGTCACAAGATCGAGTGACTTTGATGCTCGATTCCTCGACCGCTTGGTAGGGACTAAGGTCACTACCTTTGACGACATCGACCCTCCACAGGAGCCATCGGCCGTGTCCACTGCCTCTATGGCTTCCCTGCCTGCGGATTCTCCCCTTGGAATTTCTCCTCCCGGGATCTCCCCCCTTGGCTCGCCGCTCCGGAGGATCTGCTGCACGTGGGTTATTACTGAAAAGCTCTCCGAGAGAGCAGTGTATCTCACAGAGGAAGACGTCGAGTGGGGCATTGGGACGCTTATGACAGTTGGTACATTCCTATGCCACCTAGAGGAGGATCCGGCGCAGTTAGCTTTATGCGAATCTATCATCAGATTCCTATCACTGGGACTGAGTGGGCAAATCCGGACACACGAGCCCAGCGGGCCGGTCAAGATCCTACTGGTCTAGATAAGACTTGTGGTGAACGAGAAGCGTTTAAGCTGTTGATGCGTCAAGGCTGCAACTCCGTTCCACGTTTCCTTGGCTACAACGAAAAGATACAAGCAGAGAATGATCTTATTCCTGGTGGCTATACTAAGTACCTCGTATGGGAAAAGGTTCCTGGGGAGTCCCTTACAGAGGAATTCTTTTGGAGCTTAGATCGCTCTACACGTGATGATATCCGCGCTAGGTTTCGCGTTGCTTACGAGTCAGTTTGTCTGCAGATTTTTAGGAGTCTAGGAAAGCAGATGGAATGGATGCTAACATACTTAATAGAGAGATTCTACGATGCCGTGTAGTGCCACAGATGTCCAGAATTTCTAAGATCATCTACGATCAGACTACAGGCAATGTGTGCGTCAAGGGATCTACAAATGCCGGCAAGATCATGCTGGGGAGATTTGCTAACAATTTCAGTCGCATTTCGGGTTTTCGAATGGGATGGCCAATCCGTTCCAAATTCCAATGGTCAGATACCCGGTACATGGCGTACGGACTCGCTAAGCGACCAGAAGAGGATTGGAACTGGCGTCAGCATCCGGAGAACTGGGAGTTATGAAATTTCGAAAAGATTTGGCAGTCAATCAGCTTGGAATCGATCAAGGAGTGTATGAAGTAGCCGCTGAGCAGTGACAGATTAGCTTGAAGGCTCAGACCCAGGCTATGCCAAGCAGGGAGAGACTGAAGAGAATGCAAAAATCAGCGTTAGACCGTCGTATCAACTAAGGTCGAATGTTGGATTCATGGCACGGAGGGGAAGTGGTGAATCAACTGAGGGGCTCAGAAGAATAATCCATATTCCAATACCACAAAGAAGATCCCTAACGGAAGTCGTTGTCTTTGAATAGGACTGTATTAGAGACAATGAGAAGGGCCGCATATGTTATTTTATCTACGCTGCGTCTTGACGCAGGCTAACATTAGCCTGACTCCAGCTCTAGAGCCGCAGTACCGTCTCCTTGTCCAGAGGCGCAACTTTGCCTATGCTTCCCGTAGCCTGATAGGCTCGGTCCGCTTCGATTGCTGGCAGCTTCTGTCGTATCTCGGCATCCTGATCCTGGCCCCCATTCTTACCATCTTTATGGTCGCCATTGCTATCATGTGTTTTAGGATCCTTGCCGAATAATTGCTTCTAAAAGTTCAGTAATGCGCGCGAAGGATGTTCCTTATGCATCTCCCTCTCTAGCCGAGTTACCTAATCTCCCAGCGAAACCACGGCAAATCCCTGCAGAATACCCGAGAGCGGCGCTATATCTACAATCTAGCGTACTACCTGATACTACGGTGTAGAAGCGTGCCGGTTCGCGATATAGCACGCCGGTGTGGATGATTTATGCGACGCGGCGCTGCTTAATCAAGTTAATTTATCCACCCGAGTTTTAGAAGGGCCGTCACGGTTCCTTTTATGTCCCGGCAGTAATATCTCTAAAATAGCTCTTGCAGTCTTGCTATAATGTCAACGGGTAGCGAATTAGTACCCTTATGTAGTAGGTCGGGCAGGTAGCCTACTGTACTAGAAGCCGAGAATATAAGGGGATACGCCTCTGTAAAGGTATTATCTACTTGCAGGGTAGAAGGCCTGTCAATCAGGTAGAAGAAAAGCACCAAGTCAGATTACTTCAGACACCGTTTCTTGAGGAGTTCAAAAACTACTCCTCGTAGCTCATATTTATATACAGTCTCTTCGTGAAACAGGAAGGAGGGGTAACCATGAGAAGGAGGAGAATCCTGCAAGGAATACGAACTTGTGTAATAGTCTTCAGCTGCGCCATCAAGGAAGAACGGTTGGTCGTCCAACAGGATCCTTAGGCCGCCACAGGGCCGGGGCATCAATATGGGAATAGCCTTAGGAATCTCATAACACTTACATACCAAACCCCCCATCACCCTTTCACAAAGACCCTTACAACTATCCAAATCGCTTAAATCCGCAGAGATTTTGAAGAAGATTCGATTTCCTAATTCGGAAGCTAACATATTATTAAACTAGATCGATTTTGCCCTTCTCATCGCCCTTTCCTTCCTGCATACACTGTACGCTTCCTCACAATCTCAAACCCAGAGGGATCTCGCTTGGTGGATCGAGACAATCGGGCCGACTGGCGGGTTGGCGTCTTGGTTGGCTTCTTGGTTGGTTTCTTGGTTGGTTTCTTGGTTGGTTTCTTGGTTGATTTCTTGGTGCAAGAGATATCAGTAACCTCCTTCGCAGCCACTACCTTGGGGTCTTAATTATAAAATTTAATAGAATAGACATGGAAGAAATCTTACAAGTATCATCGCCACTCTATCCATCTGATTACTTATTCATTTCTGCTCCGCCGGATACAGTTCATCCTGCAACTGTCCGGCGAGTCCTCCAGCCACCGATACGCCCGACGCCATAGCCATTGCGACGACCTTTACAGGAACAGCACAGTCACCCGCAGCAAAGACGCCCGGCACCGAGGTGCTATAGAAGGGCGCCGTAGTTTCGATATCCGCGGTAGGTGCCAGCTGGAGCCCGAGCTGCTCGGCGAAAGGAGCATTACTCTCAGTCTTGGGCTTGTGGGTCTAGTAACGATGAGAGATGGATTATGACACAACCATAGGACATGTACATACCAAAAAGCCCTCGGTAACCTGCGTGCCATCTTCAAACACGATTTGCACATCGGATGCCCCGGGTCCCTTAACCAGCTTGGAAATCTTTCTCCTGTCCACTTTAATCCCTGTCCCACTAGCCGATTCCTCCAGGGTATGAGCGAGCTCCTCAGCCCCATCAGTGTACACTGTCACTGTAGTAGAAAATCGCCTAGCCATGCGAGCAAAGTGCATAGCCGCCCTAGGCTCCGCAACATCGCCCACGGCCAGAAGGCCCGCCGAAGCACAGCCGCGCTCTTCGTAGCCGTGGCAGAAAAGACAGTGGAATCTGTCCCAAGGAGTCAGCCAAAGAAGCCATAACACAAACACACACACACAGTGGAATAAGTACTCACATGCCAGTCCCCCAACACTCTCTGTATCCGTCGATGTCTGGGAAAACATCACGGACGCCATTGGCTAGTACCAGCTTGCGGCCTGTCCAGACACCATCCCGAGCATCGAATGCCTTGAAGTAGCCTTCGGACGTCTTTTGGACGCGCTTAATCTCGAGATCCTCGAATCTGATAGTATCGTAGCGAGCCAGGATACGCTCACGAGCTTCCCGACGGAAGTCTGCAGGGGAGCTATGATCCCATGTAGCCACGTTATGCATGTGGTTCGACAAGGCGTTGCGATAGACACCCGAGTCGAAGACGACTGCGCGGTACAGTTGGCGGGCGAGGCCGGTTGCTACAGACAGGCCAGCTGGGCCGCCGCCGATGATCAGGACGTCGTAGAGAGTCATGATTGTATTGCTGTTGATGTTTCTAATGCCAATTGAAGATAGAATGTATGCTTAGTGTCGGTTATACGGCTGACTTAACGGGGGGGTTTATACACGAGCATGTCGGAGACTTTCTAGCCCTAAGAATGTCTCCGAATAGGCTCCATCGTCGCCTTGGCTAAGCTTCGGAAATCTAGACTTCACGCGCCCCCTTTTTCCATATTTGAGATCCACTACACTTGGTTATTCTTTGACTCATATCCTGGCGACGTGATCGCATTTGAGAAAATTATTCAGCCATGTGGCGTCATCACCGTGGAGGGAAATTGGTCTGCGACGACGACTGGCTCGCTTTGTGGTGCTGTGCTGAGGACCCTTGGGACGAGTATTTAATACTATACGATCATATCCATCGGTATAATATGAGTCAGATTGTATAATTGTGGGCTTTGTAAGCTGCACAGTCTGGAATAGCTAACGTAATCGGCGGCCAGCCCTACCCCCCATATATAAAAGTTAAAATAGTCGAAACACCATGAAACCAGACTTCTATATAAGAATGAGTGGTTATAATACTTTGGAAAGTCCGTGACTTCATAACTCTGGATATCACAGCCAAAACACTGAGGGGTGTGCGCGTCTAGGCTCTGATTCGGCAGGCTGGGACTTTCTGTACAGTGAGTTCGATTGGATAGAGGTAGGATATATTCGGCCTAAGAGCGACATTGTAGATCTAACTTAGAGTACTCAGACTTTACCCTCTTCAAGAACTCCAGGATAATTGATAGGCTCTTGTTACCAGACTCTGAATAACAGGTAGGTTTTATGATAAGTTAATTTTATAAGGTCATCGACTCTTCCTGTACTTTCAAATCAGTGTTGAATATATATAGAGAGAGAGAGAGAGAGAGAAATGCATTATACCCGAATACAGCTCCCATCTAGGGGCTCTTCTCGGGTCGTCAACGGCCGTTTAGTATATACTAAGCAGCTCTCATTGACAGTTGTGTTATAAATGGGCTTTATATATATTGTGGATGTAATAAAGGGTCTGAAATAGCGGCGATTATTGTAGACTGCTTTTTCCCTTTTCCAGGTCTTATACTACCAATTATAAGGTTGATCTAATAGTTTAATTGTCTAAAGATAGACTACTAGGTAGAAAGGGTGCAGCTACTAGACGTGTCAATAAGTATTGTATTAGAAACGTGGGATTTAGTAGTGGAAATATGCGTTGGGAAGATATCCAGATAGATAGGCTTCTAGCGTATATTAGAAAGAGGTGATATTTCAAAATAGTGATTTCCAAGAGACGTGTGTTATAAGGTTGGTATCTAAAGGATCTAGGATAGGGTTGAATAGTAGCAGTATCTGTATTATAGAGTATAGACTATTCTATACTATGTAGGCATTTTAAAACCGAAGGATTTAGAGGCTCTATCCCGCGGCCGTAGATCACGTTGGTAGTATTCTAGGGAGCTGGCGCTAAGCCCCTTATATACCTTTCGCTAATATTCCAGTTAGAAGGTATGCCGGCGCGTTGACGCGTTTCCTAGAATAATAAAAATATAGTGATAGAGGCGATTTCATCTTATCTCTTTGAGTGGATGATCAAGCGTAGGGATGAGGGGGAATCGGTCGATTTAAGCGATTTCGTGTTGAATATATATATGTGCTATCTACTGGATCTAGGCTCTACCAAGTCTCGACTTCACGCCCACAAGATTGTATCATAGGTTCACCACATTGGCCACGACAGAACAAGGCAGAACTGATAATCGAAAGCAAATTCCTAACCCCCCCGCCTGAATGAGATATATTCCTTCTTGAGTGCAACAGACAAAGGGCCACGTTGTAGCAGACAATCCATATAGAGAGGCGCACTGGCGCTTTCGGCAATCCAAGAATATCCTTCCATCCTCTGCAACCTCGCATAAACGGACAGAGTGGCGCTCATAATGAAGCACATTGATTGGGTACGCTATACATTGTCGACGCCCAAGCCGGCAGATCGAGTGAGGTTGCGCATCCACGCGGTCAGCTGCCTCATCTCGTCCGTAGTCAGGTCTTGCGAGACACTTACGCTAAGTGCCGTGTAGCTTGTTCGGCGGAATACGGGTGGGCCAATGGTCCTGGGTCCATTGAGAGACAAGATAACTGAAGCAACTCCATCCAGCATAGCATGGGTAGGTTTGACCTGGTCCTCACACGACCTCAGGGTTTAGAAGATGTCGGCAAATTCTACGCTTTTGTGTCTGATGCGCTTTCTGCGATCGATTTTCCCTATGAGCTTGGCCGTCAATCTATTGTGTGGTGGGGGTCTTGCCGTGTGTTTGTGTCTGTACACTGGTCGCCGCTATCACTTTGACCACTCTGCGCGGGATAATTGGAGCCCGAGTTGCCATGTGCGCAACGCAACAATCCAAGATGAGCAGGATATCGAGATGATCCGAGTAAGGGGTCATCTCGGTGTCTTTGATATGCCTGAGCAGGCAGTTGTCTGCATTGAGGGTTTTCTTCGCTGCCCTGGGTTCAGCGAACGTGAAGCTTCTATTCTTCTTCATTCCATGGCCCGCATAATGTAGGATCATCAGGCTATGGTCGGTTTAAAACTTGGCGTTAGAATTCTCAACAAAGTAGAAAAGGGCTTGTTGGTATGTGATGATTTAGACTCACTGTGGGGGATGACATGCTCGATAGCTGGTGCCACGCCTAAATTCTTCAACATGTTCTGGAAACGCTCACAGTTTTGAACTGCATTGGTATCATCCAATTCCCATCGAATAGTGACCGAATATACATTTGTATAGTCGCGACTGCGCTGCGCCGCCGCCGCTGACAGAAACCGCGTACAAGCTTCCTAAGTAGAATAACAACCTTATCGAGTAAGTCTCTACTGGGCAGGAGGTCGATTTGATATAGATAAATATGCGGAGTCACCGAGTGGCCCTACCGCTCTCTCAGCGGTTAATTTCAGAATCAGGTAAAGAGAGTACTTGAAGATGGATGGTTGCTGGAGACGGAAGACTTGGGGATAAGACAAAAGAATTGAAGGCGGAAAGTCTGGAAGATTAATTCACAAAAATTAGTGAAGAATATTGCATTAGCGAGATATTACCACATATTTCTTTCCAAACAGTGAATCTGACTAAGGCTATTCCTATTGCCTATTCAAAACTCAGGTAACATGCATTTCAATCAGCCTGAGTCTTCAAATTGGATTTCCACCCATTATTGTCAAGGACCACCCAGATATTTCAATATTGAATCTCGATGCTAACTCTAACTGGGGTTGCAATAGCACATAGGCCTTTGTATACGGTATAGTGGCATGACAACGAACCATGCTCCACATCTCTAGCGAGGGGCAACTTGGCTTCGATGTCACTCACAATCTCGAATTCATGGAATATAAATCTTTGCTTTTGCATCTTGGTCTAGGTGAAGTAATCTTGCTTGAAGATTTCAATAGTGAGGCATTGGCCTACTCGGCACTGATACTAGCTGACTTGTGTTGACTTGTGCAGAAGACCATCGTACAGTACAGCCTACCCCCAGGACTCCTCATATAAAACAAGTCGGACCTTAATTTCGAACTGCACAATAATTCTGCGATTACGAACCGTTAGATCACGGATTCACCAAGAAGCGTTTCACCACGGCCCAAGGGACGTTTGCTATCTAATCCTATTCCATTATTTTAAAACCACATATAAGAACACCACCTTACTCGTATATTTATTTGAAGTGAAGACTTATAAGTGAGACTATAGAATGTTATGCTGCCACTTCCGATTTAGGGCAGTGCAAGCTGTGATGTCCTGCTCTGTATTATTGTCATCCCAGTCGGTATAATAATCAAGGATCATACTCATAGCCGAGGACAATATAGACAGGATCAGCCTACCCATAACCGGATTCCATCCAAGTTGCCAAATGGGTAGGGACGTCCCACTGGCCTGGATTAGCCAGAGAGCATGCGAGGAGTTCCTCACATGTTTGTCCATCCACATTTCTCGCCTTTCTATTGGCGCCTAATGCGGATAGTCTATCTATGGCCTCGACATGGCGGTTTCTAGCCGCCTTATGAAGAGGTGTTTCAAGAAGCAGAGTATCTCTAGGATCCAGCGGGACGCCCCAGGATTTGGCCAGCATCTCAATTCCCAAGATCCACCCTCCGGCAGCGGCCAAATGTAGTGGTGTGACATCCTCAATCATCAGGGACTGTGGATTCGCGCCACTTTTCAGAAGTAGCTCTACCATGTCGATCCTCTGTCTCTCCACCGCAAAGTGAAGAGCTGTTTTTGACTCCGGTTGCATGGTGGCGATATCAAGGAGAGCCCCGTGGCTCACGAGGAGCTCCAGAGTTCCCATTTGCTCATTAGTAACGGCTTCGTGTATTGGTGCCCAGCCCTGTTTTGGTAGAATCCACGTATTAGCAACGAGACCTGAACGAGGGATGGATCCCAAAAGACGAAGAGAGAGGATAAGACACCTACATGACAGTTTTGTGCATTGATATCTGCCTTCTTGGACAGTAATAACCTGGCCGTGTCCACATCGCCCCACCAGCATGACTCTTGGAACGCCGTACGCCCAGATGTTGTCCTCGAATTTGGATTTGCACCGTGTCGTAACAGCAGATCGGCAACATCTGTACGCCTTCTATTTGCGGCCCACCAGAGAGGAGTTGCTCCGCTATAAAAGAAAGGATCATGGCCATCACTACGGCCACTCAGGCTCCAGCCCTTTGCTGATACGCTAGCTCCCTCGTCAAGCAGCACCTTTGCAACATCGTATTTGCCCCACTCGGCCGCGTATGAGAGTGCCGTGCGGCCTTTTTGGTCCCTTGAATCTACCTGGATATACTGGAGAGCGGCTTTGAGAAGAAAGGTAGAGCCGCTTGACACAACGGTTTTTAACTCCTGGGCTGCGTCATGGTCAGAGCGTGCAGGGGTTGCTGTCGCTGTCGTCGTGGTTTCAGAGGTTTGCGACTGGTTGTCATCCAGCCTCAAGCCGACAACCGAGACAGCGTAATCATTCAGCACAGAACCAAGATCAGCGTTGAATTCGTAGCCTTCTTGAAGCACCCTCGTGCCGTTTGCTTGGGGGTGCAGTTTCAATGTGAGGAGGCTACTCAGAGTTAGCCAGCTAGTCATCTGACACAGTAGGGAAAGAAAAGAGAATAGGGTGCTTGTGCATATGGCATACAGTGTTATACTACCCATAGCATCACTAAAGGTCGACTTTGCTCTCTCGAGTTCAGCCAGCAAGCCAAAAATTTCCTTTCGTTTGAAATGCCATAGAACATACGTGCGGCTAAATCGCGGCCGTTGAATTTGAGGATCATCACTTTTTCCCACTGAATCTGGGCTCTGTGCTGAGCCAACCTTCTTAAGATATGGACTTGTCTTATCCTTGACGAGTCTGAGAGCAGACTGACAGTTTTTTATGGGGGCCGCGAGCGTCCACAGTGCGTTGCTAACCTCAGGGTCCTCCTCTACAACATTCCGCACTGCCTCGCTGCCTAAAGCCCCCTCTAAATTGAGAATCAGCGGTTTTAACGCATTGACATCATTACTGATGGCTGTGATTTCTCGAGGAGCATCTCGGATGGCAGAGCAGAAATTGTAGACCTCGAGTGCGGTTTGCCCAGCCATCTGGGCCAGCTGCAGGATTGCTGCAGCTGCACTGACCCCATCCATTATCAATGAATAGATCTACTAAATTTTGGGGAGGTGCAAAGTTATGCAGGGAGCTAGGGTGTGAAGTTATAGCTTAGTACACAAGCAAGTGAGGGGCTGAGCGTGGGGGCTGGAGATGTGGCTTAGCGGGACTGTATGTTGATCCTTGCACAGCCTCAATCCACGATGAACTCTAGGTAAATGCGACATGATGGCACTGTATTGATAATGCCAAAGAGCGTCCGCTCCAAAGGAAGGATCTATGCGGTTCCTTGCCAGGCTGCATTTGAATGATTGATAATACTACCCACGGAATCCAGTGCCATTCTTGTCGTTCTTCTATCGTCAATCTCTCTGCGATTAATCTGGATCTTGGTCTTATTTAGCCAAGCATTTGTTCTCGATATGATACCCTGAATGGGGAATCATAAGAAAGTCATGTCAATTCAAGGTGGAGATATGCGTGCAAGAAGCAACTCAAGGCTAGTATAGGCCTAGATTATGATGGGAATAACCCAACCCGGAGCTGGGTCGGGTGCGGGTCCTAGATTTTCAACCCGAACCCGACCCGCTATCTACTCTCTGGACCACCGACGATCAGACTCAACGCCTTCAGTAAGAAGATGATGCATACGGCCATACCCTCTTGATAAACAGAGAATTTCCTGGCTGCGTTACTTGGCTCACATGGCACTATAGTTTCCACCCAGTCAGGGTTGCCGGATCCGACATGGCTAGCCTCAAAGATTGGAGAAAATGCAATCTCGCCTTTTCAATGGAACAGGGATCATCTGGAGACTGCGTTACATCGCGCACAAATTGTATATGCGTGGTTCCCAGTCTAGCTTCATACACCCTTGTCAGTATTTAGGTACTGAACAACTTATAAGCCCCGCCTTCCACCCGGGTCGCCTTCGTCAACACCTTTTTATACTCGGTCTCCTCCTCTCTCATCTCCTCGAACCCTCTTTTCCTCTCTCTCTCCAAGACATGTTGTTGCCGCTAGCTCTGATGATACTGTCATGGCTAGTCAGTGTTGAAATCCAACTAAGCTCTGTCCAAGACTGACATAAACCGTTTAGAATCAGTACTCGTACACCATGCTGATCGGAACACTATCCATGATTGAAGGGCCACACGGCCAACCCTCAAATGCAATAAATGCGACGTATATAACGAGCTCTCTTCGCAACACAATCAACCACCTACGTACCCACGTCGGCAACTGGTTTTACCTCCGAGGGTTCGCCCTCGTCCTCATCCACGATATAGCCCGAGATACCATCCTCCCAGCTCTCCTACCAATCAATGACAACTCGCCGCTGCAACGAGACATTCGCTCCCTGGTTTCTGCGGCGGTTTTGGCAACTTTACAAGTTCTGTGGGTCCACATTGTCATCACCCGGCCATCGCCGAAGTCTCTTTACCAACGCCTTCCCAGCCTGAACTGCTCGCTCCGAGTGATTCCTATAGCCCTGCTTGAGTGTATATTGTGCAAGCTAGCAGTCCCGATCACGCTACTCGTTGAACTCCATCTGATAGAGGTTGTGGGAAAGGTAAACATTGACCAAAACCTGGATAATAGCCAGGCAGCAGCTCACGTCTATGCGCTCGCGGCTGTCGCTCCCACATTAATGAAATTTTGGCTTGCTCTTCCTGCTCGAGTTGTATTGGTTCGGATCGCAGCATCGACAGTACCAGATGATGATGAATTGATTGTTCCGCTTGATCCACGGCTCAAAGGTGGTGGTGCTCCACTGGGCATATTCGATGCATGGAGGAAAGACTCGTGGGCGCGTGCTTGTAAAATTCAGACCAAAGGCTTTATTGCAGGGGTTGCTATTTTCCTTTTAGGGCAACTGGTTCTTCCTGACTTCCGGAGTTATGTTCCTTTTCTGCCGATGTGGTTTAATAGTTGATCAATTTGATCGTTTGCGTGTGTCTAATTTTGTATAAGTGGAGAGGCATGGAGTTGACTTTGATCAGCTTGTTGCGATTTGTTGCAAACCGATGCTTGAATGAGTACGTTAAAGCCACCAACTTGGGCTAGAGGGGTCCACAGACATACAGTGGCATGTGTGAAGGGTTACTCCCCGAACCTAATGGAGAACGTTCAATTTTGAGTGGATGCCGAAGCTGATCGCGCAGCCCTATACGAGGTGCATCCTGAGTAGTGATGGAAGATGACGCAAAGCACCCAGTAATTTCTTCTTAGACTACAAGGTCCTGCTCTGTCCTACCAATTCATAACAGACTGGGGTCTGTACCCTGAATTGCGATCGGCATTGACCTACTCTGTTACCCAATCAATCTCCATGGAGCCTTTCGATATAACCTCAATGTCTTGCCCGATGATCCTGTTTCTCAACACTCACCGTCACATCGACCGTCCTCAGCACACCCTCCTTCCCCTGCAAATCTTGCGTCAAATGCCTTGTGCTCTCCGCCCCTTCACTAGAACTAGACTGCCTGTCCCCCTGATCTCCACCCGTTGAAACCTCCGTGATAACAACTCCATCCGTATCCCGCCCATCGAACATCGACCGCCCATTCTTCCTCAAACGACCGCGCGACCGAGGCCGTGACTGCGACTGACTGGCCCAAGAGGAAGACTGATTGATATACCCGCTTGCCTTGGTCTGCAGAAGTTCAAGGTCGATCCCATTGGGGATTTGCGTTGTGGTTAGGCCCGAGTGCAGGCCCGCGAAGATATGGTACAGGGTTGGGACGCAGGCGGCGATAACGGCTGTGAGCATCATTGCTTGGCCGGTTATTTCCCAGTTCACAATGTCCCCTATATAGATACTAGTCAGGCATCTTGCTTTTTTTTTCTGCTTTCTGCTCTTTTGTTTATGTGGTATTTGGAATGGGAATGGGGCGTCACGAACAGGACACGTCAGTGGAGTGGCTGAAGGAGGGGAGGAGGGCGAGGTGGGCAATTCCGAGGGTGACGACGCTGTGAGGATTGGTTAACAAGCTGTTTAAATATGTGGTAAAATGATGCAGTTCGTGATGGGTACCTTATGCGCGTGGAGAAGGAGGAGAGGATCTTCACTCGCTTGTGCCAGTCCATCTGGACGTTGTGCATCATTATGAAGGGCAGGACGACGATGATGGCCTCCGTGAGGGTGTTGAATACTGCGATCGGGTAGAATATGGCACCCTGGTGCAGTTTCAGCGGGCTTTGAAGCCAATCCTGGAGACGGTTTGGGTGTATACTGACCTCCCCAGCACATCGCTCAGGCGAGTACAACCACGGACCAGGCATCTCACATTGGAATGCTATACCGAACACCGCGAAGATTGACCAGCCTACGACAATACCAGCGGCAATAGCACAGCTGCGACGCAGGCTTTTACTCGGCGTTAACTTCCAAATCAGCAAAATGGTCGACATCTTGGAAAGCGACAAGGCGACGATCAGCAGAAGATGCGCAGCATAGGCGAACTTGCTCCAGGCCTGGATGTCGCCATCACTAAGCCGGTCTTGGTGTTTTCCCAGTCCATGATCAACCGCCTTCTGTAAGAGAACGACTTGGATGATTGCAAAAATCAAAGCCGCCCAAATGGGAGTATTGACCGCGGTCCGTCGCTGCTTGAAGTAGATCGCAGACCCGAACTTGGCGGCCACGAAGATGATGGCCACGATCAGGAGCGAGACAGAGGTCAAGGTGATGATAGCACCACGATTCTCACTGGACAGGACCTGGAAGGCGTCCTTTTGGTCGGCCATCGCCCCATGAGATAGTCTTCAAGTTTGAGACATACTCGGGGAGAATCGTGGCACCATATAATAAAAGCCGAATTTGTCCATCCCAGTCACTTCTAACTTTTGCTCTGTTAGGAATTTACGACGACTAGCCATTGGTATGGCACCACCCCATCTCGTCTGTGTAGGGAATCCAATATGCGAATTATTGACTTCATCGGCTAAATTAGAAATAATACGAGATTTTCCGACAATAACAATGTGCCCGTGGTCCAGAATCAATATAAAAGGGGAACCAAGCGCCACTAGAAAGGAACCGGCTCCACACTAAACAATGCCAGAGCCTAGCAGCCAACGAGACAAGTCCACGGACGGACCGTGCCATCCATCTCTGGGGGTTTTAGATTCAGCCCTAACTGCCACTAGCCACGCGAACGACAGGGGTGTGCGCCGAAGCGATATGACCGTTTTCACGCCGCGTACCAAGTCGCAGCCCGGTCTCACGACGATTCGTTTCGCTTTCATTATGCAATCAATATCCCTGTCTAGCCTGTAGAATGGAAATGAGAAGGCAAAGAAGGTCGGAAGTTATTTCTTGCCGTCTTCTGGGACTGGCCTATTCCTCGTCGACGTTTCTTTTCTCACCTTTTGTCTTTCTTTTTGTTCTGCCTATGTGAAAGAAGCTGCTCATTCATTCTTCGAAATGCAGGAAGAGATAGAAATGAAGAGTGAGGGCGCTGTGCGATCATGGCCAGTAGGAAGTTGGAATGGGGGCTATCAGAGCGCTACAATGCGCGAGAAGCAACAATTAGAGGTACAGTCGCACGGCCTAGTTGGTCTGCACAGCATCTAATAGTTTCACAGCGATATCTCAACTTTTTCTCCTCCGTTGCCTTTTCCGCCTGTCTACTTGCTACATGGGAATCTGCCGGTGGTAGTTTGCTCTCAGGCTTATACAACGGTGGCCCCGCAGCGATTGTCTATGGCATCATATTGAGCACCATCGGCAACCTGGCTATCGCATGCTCTCTGGCCGAGCTTGCTTCTCTGTATGTGCGTGAGCCCCTTCAAATGGGATGGCGCTGACTTCGAACCTGACAAGACACCCCACTGCCGGTGCTCAATATCACTGGAGTTACTTCCTCGCACCTCGCGGTCGTCGATTTATTAGTTTTTTCCAGGGTGAGCTTACAGTTGTATTCTTCTTTCTTTCGTTCAGACAATTGCTGATGGCTATCAGGCTGGGTGACCGTCTTCTCATGGTCTGCTCTCGTGTGCATCGCCCCATATTTCATCGGAACCCAAATCCAGGGAATGGTTGTGCTGGCGCATCCTGATTATGAGCTTGTCAGATGGCGCGGTACGCTGCTTATGTGGGCAGTTGCGATCATTCCGATCATTATCAATATCTTCGCGCGTCGTGTTCTGGGGGCTATTGAAGTCGCTGCGGGAATCATGCACGTTGTCTTCTTGCCCGTCACCATTGCAGTCTTCGTTATTCTCGCTCCGCGAAACCCAGACTCGTTTGTATGGAACACCTTTGTCGGCGGCCTGAGTGGCTGGAAGGATTCGGGGGTTGTATTCTCCATCGGTCTTCTTGGTGTCATTACTCCCCTAGCCGGTACGATCCTGCCTATTTTCTTCACTGCTTGGTCATACTGATAGTCTAGTATCAATGTAAACAGGCGTCGATGGTGTCATCCACATGGCCGAAGAAGTCAAAAACGCCAAAGTCGTCGTCCCCCGCTCCATGATCTATGGCACCCTGATCAATGGCACTCTTGCCTTCGCCTACCTCATCGCAGTCCTCTACTGCATGGGCGACTACACCGAAGCCGTCCTCAGCCCCACCGGCTACCCCATCATCACAATCGCCTACCAAGCCACCGGCTCAAAAGCCGCAACCTTCGTACTGATGGCGATGGGCATGCTGCCCGGCTGGATCGCCCTCTTCAACGGTCTCGCCTCCGTAACCCGCCTGACCTGGGCATTCGCGCGCGATAACGGCCTCCCCTTCTCCGACTTCTTCGCGCGCGTCGACCCAACCTACAAAATCCCCCTCCGCGCTCTCTTCCTCGTCGTCTCGTGCATCTTCGCCCTCTCCTTTATCCAAATCGGCTCCACGGCTGCATTCAATGCAATCCTCTCTCTCAGCACCCTGGGCCTCTACATTTCCTACCTGATCCCCCTCATCCTCCTCGTGTTCAAGCGCTTCGTCGCGCCCCAGGATATCCCACAGGGCACCTTTACGCTAGGCAAATGGGGTCTCCCCATGAACTTGCTTGCCATTCTCTTCGCTACATATTTTGTTATCTTTCTGCCGTTTCCGTCGACCCTGCCGGTTACAGCGGAGAATATGAATTATGCGGGGCCCGTCCTGGGCTTTGTTATGTTGTTTGCTTGTGGGGATTGGATTGTACGGGGCCGGCATAAGTGGGAAGGGCCGACTATGCGGCCGTATGCGAGGGACGAGTAGATTATAAAAGAGGAACAGTGGGAGTGGAGGGGGGTTCAGGTGGAAAAGTGAGTGGAAGGGTTGAGATACTATACTGTTTTTGTTACCGGCTTTTATTGCTAAGGGGGGGTAGTAGCTAGTCTACTGCTACATAATTAAATACTATACCATTGTTTTGTCTTTTGTCTTGGCAGGGTTAAATTCACTTGATAGTGGAACGGGTTTGTAAGACACTGTATGTGGAGATCTCCTAAGTACGGCTGAGTAGAACGGACGGGCAGCCCTGTTCTCCACAGCGTACGGTCGTATGTACGAGTTTTGCAGTCGTAGAGCACTACCTCGTAGACACAAGAAGTGAAGGGAAAAGTGTCGAGAGGGTTAGCTTGAATTGTTCAGTTGGCGACAGGGCATCTAGAGCAAAACAAACCTACTGGTAAAAGCGAGTCTCGTCAACTGCAATCGTATCCATCAGAATCGGCCAATGCGCATATATATATATAGCTTAGGGCTCCAGTTCTAACAGCTACGCACGTAAAAGCCCCATCCGACCTTCGCAGTAACCCGTGCGGATGACCAGTTTCGATAATATCGAACTTCTATAAAAGAATAAAGTGGTGCGAGCGAATAGACGACAGGCTTCATTGTATATGGAGGTTCAGTTTAGGTATTAACCATATATGAGTACCTTCGATAGCTTTATGACAATCCAATCACATCCACTATAAAGTGCCGCTGGTTGCAATAACAAGGTGCACTAAGGGAGGAGGCTGGATCTGTAGGTTCTTAACCTCCCTATTACTACTCTTTTCTGTGATCACAGTCTACAGAATACTATCTAGGCTCGTACAATCATTACATTGATTTTAATCGTATTCTAGGAATATTTTCTGACTCGGTATTGGATCTAGTTGAATATAGCAGCGGTTCACTAAACTATATTAAATCTATTTAGATTTTAGTAATTAATTTTTCAGATGAGATTAACAAAACTCCGCGGGGGTTCGGAACAGATATGGATTATTATATAAAAGCCTGCGCCGGAACTGGGTTTAGGACAGGTCCTAGATCTTGAACCCGAACCCGGCCCGATGCCACCTTTAAGTATATGATATCCTGAATACCTCTCAAGGTTGGTTGCCATGGTTGTGAAATTCGATTTCGTCGCTGCGAAAGAGTGCGTGACGGGGACTAGAAGGGCAGTTTTCTGCCACCTGTAATGCAACTCGGGGTTGAAATAGAGTGATAGATGTGGGTTGACCGAAGTATAAAGTTATCGCTGTCTTGGTCTGTGATAGGGCCCAAATGCCGGAGCGATTGGTGACTCCCCGTTGGGTAATATTATAACAGAACAAATAAGCCATGAGTAAGAAGGGATCAGGATAACGAGCTCATTCTCGAGGTCGAAGGGCGAGAGGAATCTAGTCATGATTTTCGTATGATTTACATCCATGATTTATGACTTTGCATGATCAAGCAAGACCGATATTCTAGGAACTCCGAGCGCGTGGAGCTTCGAATTGACTGGTTTAGTATGGGCTACATGAACAGCGTTCGACTATCTGGATAGCAGTCATCAAATCGGTCATGTGTAAGGAAATGGCTTTCCCTGATTAATGGCAAAGTACTCTAGCGCTGCTGATCCCGCTCCCTGGTGGCTAAGAGGTCCCTCAAAGCGAGCATACTGGCTGTTCTAGCAACCTTTGGCGTCACAGCCTCTGTCTGCCTTATGCCTCCATAAACACCCCCATTCTACTAAGATCCTCAGTCTTTTATAAAGCTCGATTGTTTAATTAACAGAAACCAGCCTATGTCAGTTATCTCCGGTGCGTCTATGTTAAAGCTACAGCAGTTGATTACCAAGACCAATGACGTCCTATGCTTTCTCTGATCGCCGGTCGGTCTTTCGTTTACTTTTAGTGTATCTCGTGGAGTTTGCTTTCCTGACTTTCTCAGGGGTCAAACTTGCGATGACCGCTGCTCTCAATTGCGCTAATTTTACATAGAAGGTGTTCCCCGCGTCGATCAGCGCTCTGCCGTGACCGCTGCCGAGGGGTTCGACGTGCAGTGGGCCCAGAGCCCCGAAAATATACGTACCGGTCTCTGTCTGATCATCATCTGCCTATACCCCACGCACAGAATGTCCACGAGAAGCTTAAGCTGCGCCTTCACATGGGCTTGTCCTAATTAAGCTTTCCGAGGTCTCTTTGGCTGATCTCTCCGCACTTTCCTTCCCGTGTTTGTAATAACCATGATTCTCAACCATACCAATCCAGCACTATCACCACAACCGTGACTATCCTAATCTGCGCTAGAGTAGCGCGGGTCTTATGTGCCTAGTGGAGCGAAGCCAAGCAAGCTTATAAGACTTTGTTGGATTTAGTGTTGTATATCTGCCAATAACAATGGCCTCCCGCGCAGATCGAACCCTGAAGCCAACATAATCACACGCCGTCCCCTCGGCCTTAGCGCACACTATGGCTGCTTCAGGAGAACAATGCGATTGTCAACATGGCAACCCCGAGGGTTCGCAAGCTACTGTTGGAATGCGCTTGGCCCTTCTGCGAGCGGGGGATGGGCCAATCCTCACAGGTATATGAATGGGTACAGTACTTCTATGGCAGTCCTTACCCGACCTCTGTTCTTTGTGTTCTGGGTTGATGAAGGCAACCGGTGAAATCAACATGAAGGGTTCATTTCTGCTGTTGCATGCCCTGGTGGCGGCCGTTGGGTCAATTCCAACGCGCTCTGACTATGTCCTCCACGAACGTCGCGATGCTATACCAAGCCACTGGACTGGCGAGAAGCGTCTGGACGGCCAGACCATGCTACCTATGCGAATTGGTCTGACCCAGTCGAACTTGGACCGGGGTCATGATCTTCTGATGGAAGTGTATGCTTCCATGCCCCCTATCCTGTCTAATGGTGCTAACGATCTAGGTCCACGCCCGGTTCCCATCGGTACGGCGACCACCTGACCGTTGACGACGTCCATGATCTATTCGCCCCCAGTCAAGACAGTGTAGACACCGTCCGCTCGTGGCTGGAGTCCGCAGGCATTGCCCCTGATCGTATCACCCAGTCGACAAACAAGCAATGGCTCCAGTTCGATGTGGGCGCCGACGAGGTCGAACAACTTCTCAAGACGGAGTTTTACCGTTACTCGCACGCCGGCACTGGTCGGTCCCATGTGGCTTGCCGGGAGTAAGTAGTCATGTTGGTCATGGAAAAGGCGCTCTCTAATTAATTAACAGATACCACGTCCCGGAAGGTGTGCAATCGCACATCGACTATATCACGCCCGGTGTCAAGCATCTGGAGATTCGAGAGGAGCGACCGGCTGAAAAACGTAGCGTTGACAAGCGGTCATTTGGCATTCTCCCACCAATCCTCCGACCATTGACCCTGCCTTTGGAGGAGTTACTAGGCCAGCTGCTGTTCTTGTGTGATGTCGCTGTCACGCCTGCTTGCATTCAGGGTAAGTCCACATCCACCCCAACCTCCGTGATGACTCGCGCTGACGGACCAGCCATGTACAACGTAACCGACGGCGACAAGGCAACCAAGGGTAATGAGCTCGGTATCTTCGAGGATCTAGGTGATGTCTACAGCCAGGATGACCTGGACCTCTTTTTCTCGACTCTCGCCCAGTATGCCCCTCTCCATGTCCCCTTTCCCTACACTCACTCTAATACCCTCCCAGTAAGATCCCCACCGGCACACACCCAATCCTCAACGCCATCGACGGCGCCCAAGCACCAGCCGACACCACCAACGCCGGCACAGAATCAGACCTCGACTTCGAGATCTCGTACCCACTGATCTGGCCCCAGAACTCCATCCTCTTCCAAACCGACGACCCCGTCTACCAAAACAACTACACCTTCAACGGGTTCCTCAACAACTTCCTCGACGCTATCGACGGATCCTACTGCAGCGAGACCTCCCCACTCGACCCACCCTACCCCAACCCAGCCGACGGCGGCTACAAATCCCCGCGCCAATGCGGCGTCTACAAGCCCACAAACGTCATCTCGATCTCCTACGGCGGCGCCGAATCCGACCTCCCGATCGCCTACCAGCGCCGCCAATGCCAA